CCTTGAAGAGCCATGATTGTTGTATTATCATTTAGGCTAGAAATTTGGGGCGTTACATGCATTAACAACTAACTTTTACTTTGTTTTATAGAAAAAAGTTAACCATAATTGGCAACCAAGCGGTCTTTTAAATATTTACAATTAGTTTACTAATGGGACAACTATACCCCTGTTTAAAGAAGGATTAACTGTGTAGTACTTTTTGAATAATTAAAAATTATTTTTTTCATATATAAAATGAGATTTGAAAACAATTATAATGGATATTTTCTCTATAAAAAAAAAGAGTAAATTTTGTATTTATAATTTAAAAAAATCATTTCTAATCCGTAGACGGGAATATGAAAAGAAATTTCAATTATTGATTGGTGATGATTAAAATCAAATAAAAATGAAATTTTCTTAGATATTAAAATAAAACTGCTTCCCACCTTTAATAATAAAAAAAAATAAAAGATTTTTGTGTTCACTTAATATTGAAAATAATTTAACTTAACACATAACATGTCACGACTTATCACGAGCTTACCTTTTGCTACAAATATGGCCATCTACTTACCACTAGAATTGAGGGTGAAAATTTTAAACACACCACAAATCATGATTTGAATCGTATAAGAAATTAGCTGGTTAGGGTTTACTGTTGTTTAATACAAATAAAAAAATGACATGACTCGATAACATAAATATTAAACGGGCCAAACTTACATAACATTAAGTTGATACAGATAACCTGTTTAATGATCATTACTTATTTTCACTAAGGGATGCTATGACACTTTGAATCTCTTATGTAACTCTATTTAACTCAATAAATACTTATGCACAATAAGATTTAAAGGCTAAAACAATTTTTATTTTTTCAATTACGACACTTTGATCGGTATTCTTTTGTCTAACAATGTTCTCAACGATAAAAACAAAATAAATGTGAAGTACGAAGATAATGAACGGGTGAGAAATGGAAGAGTTTAAAATGGTGACTGTAAAAAGATAAAGAAAAAAAAAACAAGAAAAAGAAAGGAAGTGAGGGATAAAGTCACAATACCAACAAAAAGTTGTGTTTTAAAATACATTTATTACTTTTCTCAATCTTTATAATAGTGGGGTAATTAGGTTAATAAATAAATTCTTAACAAATGCACTTATTAACAAAAACACAAAAATAAATATATTACCTAAAACAAAGCTTTGGAACTTCTTACAGGAAACGTGCTATTTTTTTTTTACTGGGCTCCCATGTTTTTCAACTGGAAAGATAGGGTAAAGTGGTTCAATCTAGTACAAAAATTCTCAAAGCAAAAATAATAATATATTTATTGTAAAGTCAATCTAACAAAAATAATAATGATATTATGGTATAGTTTTTGTAATAAAATAAAATAAATATGAAATCATTATATTGATCAGTATTCTTTTTGTCTAACAATGTTCTCAATGATAAAAACAAAATAAATGTGAAGTACGAAGATAATGAAAGGGTGAGAAATGAAATAGTTTGAAAGGTGGCTGTAAAAAGATAAAAGAGAGAAAAAAAAAAAAAAAAAAAGAGAAACGAAGTGAGGTATTTAAGTCACAATATGAACAAAAAGTTGTGTTTTAAAATATATTTATTACTTTTCTCAATCTTTATAATAGTGGGGTAATTAAGTTAATAATAAATTCTTAACAAAACACATAAAAATAAATAGGGAGCTTTTTCCATAAATCCATCTTTAATTACT